ATGAAATTACACAGAAGCCCAAAGAATTCCAACCCCAATAAAATTTTCCCTAGAAATGGTCACAGATGAAATACCATAACACGAAAAATAAAACATGCGCATGAAAAAATCAATATGAAACTAAAAAATAAGGCGAAAATATAAAAAATTAGATTTCATCAAACAAAATTACACAGAAACCCAAAGAATTCCAACTGCACTAAAATTTCCCCTAGAAATGGTCAAAGACGAAATATCATTGAACGACAAATAAAATAATCGGAAGAAAAAATCAGTATTGAACCAAAAAATAAGGCAAAAGTATAAAAAATTATATTTCATCAAATAAAATTACACAGAAGACCAAAGAATTCCAATTGCGATAAAATGAAACGAAATACCAGATGCGTAACAAAAGTGTCGTAAATCGAACCCGGTAAACGAAATATAAAGCACACCTAAAACAAAATAAAGGAAATCGTGAACTCTAGAACCTAAAAGAAAAACCCGTAAAGGAGGAAAAAATATTTCCTATGATAGAGAAAAAGGAGCGAAGAAACATGAATGGTGTCGATCGTGCTACTCATAAATATCCTAAGCGTATGAACAGATTTCGTGCTCGAGTACCCAAACGAAATGTATGGGGCGTCGTTACGGCCCCGGCCGTGTCGGGAATTTTCATTTCATTCAACCGGGAACATCCTCTTTTCTCGTTACCTCCCTTCCCGGTGGCACGCAACATCGAGCTGCCTCTAATAGAGCTCTTAAGCCTCGAAAACTGACTTTATCGATAGGAACACGGCGCGGGTGAGGCCTGACGCGATGCACAGATAAGGCGCGAAGGAAAAGGAGAAGGAAAAGAAGTAGGAAAAGCAGAAGGCCGGGTGTTCCGCTGATTCTAGATCGTAATTCGAGAGATCTATCGGCCTTCGTTTCACAACGCGATTCGTAACTCGAGGTTTCAACCTGCTCGTCGGCCCGATGCATTTGCGTGAGAATCTTCGTTCCCTCGATTAGCAGGGATTCAAAGAGAATCCTGTTTTCTATGAGAACCGAGCAGATTGGACGGTGTCTAATTGCCGGGAGATGTGGGTTAAGAGATTGGTTATTTTTGCAGTGGAAAGATATCCGGGGATTTTCTTCAGCTTGTTGAAAAATATTTCCGTATCCTTTCTGCGGACGTAGTGTTTTATTTGTTGGCAAAGTTTGGTGAAGATGGTGGATGATGAATTGGTAATTAAGTAATAAGTGAGGATGGATTCAAAATTGGAGGCTCTTGCAGTGGAAAAATGTTCAGAGCTTTTTTACATATATTATATAACAATATTGTTTCTATGGATATATCTTTTTATCTAATATGAAAGTTTAATGGAGATGGTGGATGATGAATTAGTAGTTAAGTAGGAAATGAGTATGGATTAAAAATTTAAAAACTCTTGCAATGGAAAAAAGTACAAAGCTTTTTTACATATTTTATACAAGAAGATATACATACATATATTGTTACAATGGATTATTTTTTTATTTAATGAAAAAAATTAATGAAGATAATGGGTGATAAATTGTTAATTAAGTAGTGAGTATGAATTAAAAAATTGGAAACTCTTGCAATGAAAAAATGTACAGAGCTTTTTTACATATATTATATAAGAACATATATATACATATATTGTTACTATGGATGTATTTTTTTATTTAATGAACAAAATTAATGAAGATAATAGATGATGAATTAGTAATTAATTGGTAAGTGAATATGGGTTAAAAAATTGGAATAGAAAAATATTTTGGGGAAAAATATTTGGGTACTCCAATTGATATATTTTTTTTATTTGATTGGAAAATTTAATGAAGATTATGGTTGATGAATTGGCAGTTAGATAATGAATGATAAATAGTTAATTAGTCAGTAAATGCAAGTTAAAAGATACAACATTTTCTTAGACAAAACTATATAAGCTCCCTTTTCTTATTTTATGAATATAATTTTATATTTGATAGAAAAATGTAATGAGGATAATATATGATGAATTAATAGTTAATCGGTAAATTGTTATAGACTTAATTAAATAATATCCTGATAGCTATTACCTTCTAAACCCATATATCTTAACAATATTTTTCTTCAGCATCCGATATTCGCATTGCATGATCAAATGTTACATATTACATATAACGTGACCTTACATATATATATATAAAGTGACTTTCATACCTTGATTAAAAATCAGGATAACAAAGAACTAATTAGAATATCATATGCTAGTGACTTTCATTCCTTGATAAAAACACTAATTGCTATATCATATGCTACCAATACCAAGCAACATTTATTTAAAACACCTTATCATATAATAAACGCTTTAACTTTAAATTAATTAACACTAGAACCACCAATTTATAATGTATACCTAAATATAATGTACCAATCATGTTAATTAAAGTGATACAATTAAAATACACGAACATACGTAATTAGTAATTACGATTTTATTCGAAAAAAAATCAACATTAACTACGCGGTCGCGTATTTTCAGCAATTACAAAAATAAATAAAAAGAAGTTCCAATTTTAAAATTCCAAATATCAAAATAAGAATCATAATTAGGATTGAATTTAAGAATTTTAATTTCTAAAACAAATGATTTCGACTACTTTGATAGCTCCAGTGTTAATTTCGAGTGACAAAGTTATGTGGAAAAATTATATTTCTTTTATCATAGTATATGTATCATATTTTATGATATTTTATATTTTATATTTTATATTTTGAGCAAGTCTATTTTATACCAATACACGCGTATTCTATTTTAATTCCTGTATGACTATTTGCCAATTTCCGAACGAAAATTTAAACGAAACAGGATGAGCAGGAAGTGGAGATGCCATTCGAGTGAGATACCGGTTATTTAAATATTTCAATTTAATTCCATTTTAATTCTCACTTACACGTGCACGTGACACGTAGAAGAGTATACGCGAATAATAATTAAATATCGATTCAAGTAATTAACGCTTATATTTACCAATGTTTTAATTAATAACGTTTAAGGTTGAAAATCATGCTCAACAGAATGCTGAAAAGCGATCCTTCGAGGGAAGAATGTTCTTCTGTAACGAGGTTCACGATGCAACTATTTACCACAAAACGCGAGTTGATTAATCAATTAAAAGGTTAAGCGAACATTGTGCTACTGAGATGTTTAAAGTTCCTCTGAGTCATCGATGCTGTTGACGTTGCGAAACGAGAGATACATCGGGGTAATTAAAAAGAAAGGAAAAACAGCCAAACTATTAAAAATCTTGTGCAAACATATTACGTAATGCTTCCAATCGACGAGGAAAGGAATTTTACTTGGACCAATAAGAAGAAAATGAACACGCCATCGTGAAATTACGAAGGATAGAGATCTACAAATTTTTTAAATTATTTCCGTAAAGTTAATGGTAAAAATAATGAAAATATTTTTGAAACATGAAGTATATTTACAAAAAAAATTAATGCAATGAGTAATTTAATTAATACGAATAAATATTGAATTAATGGAATAATTATGAAATTATTATACGATGAAAGAATTAGGTTTATGCAGTTGGTATAACGCAGTACTCTAATTTCTGAATTTTAGGATGGGACAATTTTAATTGAACGAGTTAAAAATTTCCGTTTTTAGTGATAATAACTAATTTCCCTTTTTACGGATTAAAAGTATTTAATTTGAATTATTTACTATTATTTTTCAACGTGTGATATTATTCATCCCATCATAATCTAAATTATTCATATAAAACAGAATTTAGAGTGTACCTTAATATTTATTTTTTAATATTATTTAATTTTTCAATTATTGTCCATATAATTATGGCCAATAATAATTACTTTAATTTTAATTAATTTTAATTAATTTTCCTTAATTACACAAATTTCTCTCTGCACGTTTTGAAAAATACTTTCGGCCGATAAATTCTCCGGGCGAATAACAGAGCGAAGAATACCGTTAAAATATATTTCACCCGACTGTGGGATTAAAAAAGTTCTTAATTGCAAGCTTCGTTAGCCAGGACCCATAGCATGGGCGACCGAATGCTTGAATTGCTCTCCTGAGAATTTTAGACCGTTCCGAATGCCTTCGCGAGTCCAGATCGATTTCATTACGATTTCGTTACTCGCCAAATTCCACGAGTTCCGCGTTCTTTCGCGACGAGAGTCGCGACAACCATGGTTACTCGAGGGTTAAACAACATGGAACCGCAACGAAGGACTGTCAGCGCCGAGAAGAGCCCGTAATTCTACGCATCGTTCTTGGAAGACAAAAACAATACAGCCTCCACGCACTTCCTATTGCTCGGTAGCTTCCGTCCCTCTACACGCGTCGAACGAAAACATTCTTGACCTTCAACGGCGAAGCAATATTCAGAGTCTGCACTTTTATCCACAGCGATCTCGTGAAACTAAATATGACGCAATAGAGACGACAACGAAGAATATTCTAGAACGGAGATTGAATTTGTCCCGTAGAAAATGATAATTAACATCTTTTGTATTTTGAAAGTAATTTGAACGTCGAGTAATAACTGATTTGCCTTTAAGGTTGTATTAGAGCTTCTTAGTATCGGGCATAATACGTCTCGTACATATTTGAACATATTAGATTTATTAATACGACAGAAATTAAATATTGACTTTCTTCTGTAGTAAAAGCTATTGAAGAATTTTTAAATGGCAAATGTCCATGGGCCTCGATTTATTTCGATTCTCTCGCGACCGTTGTAACGTATGTTTAAGCGACCGAATGTTTTTCGCATGGAACTGCATTTCGCGTTAGGATTATCTTAAACTATTCCTCTCTTGTCTCGCAGCATAGTATGGCATATTTCGTTATCAGCCGGTTTAGAAATTAACCTTCGAACGATATTTCGCTATGATCATGCATTTTCTCTTATACGTCACTGTTAACGTGCACGTTTGTCTTGTGTCACGTTCTAGGAAACGTAAAATGAAATAAGAGTACATTACTCACCGCCGTTCTTGCCGTCCTCCTTCGCTTCATCCCCTACCGGCTGGACACTCTCCTTGCTCGTGTTGCACCCCATTTTCACTCGTCTGTTTCTTCCTCTCTTCCTTTTCTATATCTCTTCTCTATCCTCGAATCGCAAACGCCCACCGTTACTCGCGACACTCGCCGTGTAATTCGCGATTACGATCGACTAAGTGCTTTTCTCGTTAACATCGAGTCGTGAAATAAAGGACCAAGATTACGAGGAGGCTCGTGTGCGCTAGGAAATACTACCGATACCTCGACAAGGACGAAATGGTTAGTATGAAAGATCACAGTACGGTATTTTCGGCGTTTCCAAAAATCTCGTTTTTCTTCTCGTGGCCCGGAGGTGAACGACACGCCGTGGTACCGGCTTATTCGTAGCGATTCGTTGGGACGAAAATACAATGATTCTGTGTAGTTGGTCAAACTGGACGTATCGTAAATTCGACGGGTTACGCAGTCTTTCCGGTCGTGAGTTTTGCCGGTTAAGAAAAATATATATGTATATATATATATATATAAATGTATATATATATATATCTATATGTATATTAAAACACTGTACAAAAGCTACTGCCGGCAAACACTAAACGCTAACCTACGAATATACCACGAACACAACTCCCGTCGGCGTCGCGAGGCGTACTGACACTGCCGACGACCCTGCCCTTGCGTCGCGACTACGCGAGTCGATATATATTCCTTTGTGGCTCTGTGTGCGTAAACATACATGGTTGCGTGCGCGCGAAACCAATAGGCACGTCTACGACGAATCGTGCACAAACTCAGTTTTAAACGAATGCATACGAATCGAAAGCCGCTGCTATGGCTGTTAACGATTTTATATTTTCAAATTCTCGCGAGGAATACATCGGGCTCGCACGATGTGCTTATCGTTGATTAACTAAGTGCCACTCCCAATTCTTGTGTACCATCCAAAAAGATAGTACTTTTGCGAGGTGGTTCAATCGATTTCATAAACGGATACTTCGTTGGTCGCTTTGTTGCACTGAACCAACGAGACCGTTCGCAGACAGGCGCCAACGGCTCCCGAGTTCTTCCTGTTTTCTGGAACGAATATCGATTTTGCAGTTTTGATAATCCTTCGCGATTCATTGCCGTTGATGATTCATATTTCACGGACGCGACTTGCACATTTGTTTGCGTTTCATAGTCGCGTGACTCGTGCTGAGAACGGTACTGACAAATAGCTGTCGGTACTTTTAATGTTACTCTGGCATGCACGACTCTTCCGA